AACACACACGTCTTCAATAAACGATGTAATATCATTGGTCAGTGTATTATAAACACACACGTCTTCAATAAACGATGTAAATGTCATTGGTCAGTGTATTATAACACACACGTCTTCAATAAACGATGTAATGTCATTGGTCAGTGTATTATAAACAGGATATATTTACAATCTCCATCTTCTTAAAAAAATACACGTACTGACCACGAATTAGTAAATGTAAAACTTACTCATTAGGCCCGTTTCTTGATTATTAATCAAGTTTCATTCCCGACATAAAACGCCCAACACCAAGATTGTTAACATAATATGGCAAAATTAAAATACACCACGTTATGTACAAATTTTAAGGCATAAACCAGCCCTCTACCGATGCATTTTATGTGTTAAATAAAGCAAATGTAATCTGAGAAACAAAATATCGTTCGTTTCAAATAATGGAAGTAATTTCAGTATGTTATAACAATGCAAATATTGTCTAACCTGTCCTTAAACATACTTGTGATTAATAACCTCTGTGGTCAAGTGTTACAGATAAATATATCTTATGCCATACTCATTAACACTCAAAACGTGTATTAATTTATTTTCTTTCAGTTTTTAGTTGATTGAGTACAAACTTAAGTATTTTCATACGTTCGAATAAGTTTAGGACCCTAGGCTTACGTTGAGTATTTTATTCCTCGACGTTTCGGTTATTCAGTTCAACAGTTCCAAAAAACATCAGGGAATAACAACTTTACATCTTAAGTCTAGGACTAATCACAGTTTAAAAATAGTCTACATTTCAACCTCAACAGGGAAGACTAAAATTCGCAATAAAACTTTTTTTGCTTTGGCAAAACAAAACAAAAATCAAACTTGTTTTGACAATCAGTGATGTCCATTTCACTACCTATTAAAAGCTAGTCTCTAGGCTAAACGTGTTCAATCTTAAACAAATGTGGCACTAAAGCTGATGATGTTTCAATAGATATACATGGGATATAATCAAACATGCGTTATGTACACAATTTCAACCGCGTCCTCTTAAAGCCAAACCTTAGTAATCAATAGTTTGATTATTTATGTATTAGAATAAATATTTTAATCATGGCAACAATACAAATTGTGTTTATTACTTTAATATTATTAATGTTCATTATATATTTTAAAGTATTATGATTTATAAGTTAGGCCTGGAAGGGGTCGACCTCGGCCACAGCAGTACAATTGGTTATGCTAGCGGGGATCGATCCTTGTAGACCTATCTCATAAACCTGAAACACCAGAAGTGGTACATATGTATGTATCGATAAAAAGATACCACCACAAGGATAAGGCTGGTTTTCATATAGGCAGCTACATAGTTTGTTGAGCCTTCTTTAATTCCACAAGAAATGTTTGATTCGGTTTAACTCGCATTTTTATTGATCAGAAACTCCAGTATTTCGGCTTGAATTGTCTAGATAAAGATTACAGAGCAATTTTATGCTTTGAAAGCATTAGTTTCTTTTGTTGAATCAAACCATTTTTGTTTCTTTTGTAGAAATCAAGAGGGCTATAAAAACTGTGACTGCCCAAGTCTCACCTCTTATGTGTGTGTGTGTGTGTGTGTGTGTGTGTGTGTGTGTGTGTGTGTGTGTGTGTGTATATATATATATATATATATATATAATATGTGTGTATGGTTTCTTGGTTGTTAAATAACATTTGAAGTTAATGATGTTAGATCTGGCAGTGATGACTACACAACTGGAACTCTACATGAAATCTCATAAGTTGAGGTTTCATGGAGTCTAATCAAACACTGGGTAAATGAACACCAGGGCTATAATATCGAAGCTACGTTTAAAATTATGGTACGTTAATGACAGTGACGTCACAAGACGAACTGATGACCTTACAACTGGAAGTTATGCATAACTGGCCCGTAATCACTTCTGTGACCGCTAGCTTTGGATCTTGTGGTTCGGTGGGAAAATTCTGAGAAGCGTTCTGGATCACCCGGTTGAGGCATCAGCATTACCGGTTGTAGGTTCATGAATTTCCGGGAGGTAGTAGACTGATTATCAGGTACAAAGGCGGTGTTCATCTCTCCTACACAGGCACATACACAAAAGAAGTACATTTATTGCTCAATAAACTAGATAAATATTTGACGCCGCAGACAACGTTTTCAACAGTAATAGTAATAAAATATCTAGCACGTTCACTTTTATTTTATTAAGAACTATTTTTCTATGCGCAAAAATACACAGAAGTGAGGAAACAAGTTCAAGCACGTTTTGGGATCAATTTTAATTTTTTCATAAACTTGTGTGGTAGTTGTCTTGCTAAACGTAGCTGAATTTAGTGATAATGAAAATAATATTTGGTACTTGAAGCATTTAGAATTTATGTACAGTAACATTTTAAAATATATCACTTTCAGTAGAGACGTATGTAAGTTTGAGCGTATGAAAACAAAGTCAATAGATTCAAAGTAAACAAGCCAGCATCAGTTACAATGAGATTAGTCTTCGGTTATGATTACTTACCTGCAATTTTTTTTTAAGAATAAAATATACTGTATATTAGACATTAAAAGTGCGAGTTATCTCACGATAAAACGAATATTTTCCGTGTAATTAATCACTTAAGAATAAACATATTAAAGATTCACAATTATTCTCAAGAAAAAAGTCGAGTTCTTGCAAAAACGTTCCAAGAGATGGAAGCACTGATGCTATACTTATTTTAGTCATTTTCACTAATAAAACAAATTTAAAACTACAGAAAACTAAGCCCCCCTTTTTTATATTTAACTTCGCTTATTCTACCAATGAAACAATTAAATTACACATGTGTTTTTCAAACAAATTTGCGAAAGGAAAAGAAAATGATAATTTCTCAGTTTTGCACACTGTTTAATTTATTTCAAATATCTTAAACCGTACGAAGAACTTGACACGATACTGACCTCTATACACCGATCCATTCGGAGGGTACTGTTCTGGTACTACTTTCACGTAGCGCGTGCCCAGAACAAAGGCTAGTGCCGCCAGGACCACACAGTCACATACTCCAATAATGGCCAGAATGTAAGCCCATCGGACTCCACACTGACCAGGGTCATAGTTATCAGATTCAGGACCACATACCTCCTTCACTACGTCACTGTCCCAACCAGCTGGAAAGGTTAACACTCCAACTACCATACATACCGCTAGGGTGCGAAAAGAAATGTGTATACATATAAAAATCAGACTGCTGAACTGTAAGAAGGAAGTCAACATCTTTAAAACCTTAAAGTTGTTTTAGTGTCAATAATCATTATTATTATATAATAAACTATCAAAACCTATTGTAATGAAGAAAAATGGCCGTCTTACACACTTAGAAAGGAAATAAGTATCCTTATGATAAAAATAATTAACATTCTTTTAATGTCATTAGTATACATGTCTCCTCTATCTAGAACAGCGATTCTCAACCACCTTGCCGGTCCGTGCGATTTCATGAAACAAAAACTGATAGAATAGTGATATACAAGTCCTAATGGTTTGTCGTTGTACAATGAGAGCGGGCCAGTTCTGTCGAAAATGTTGACCTGGATAACTACAATGGGCACATACATCGCATACACTACATTACCTGTTTTAATCTTGAAAAATGTGACATTCCACCTTCAAACTTTCTAAATATTATCAGTTTCAAGTTTCCGATAAGTTATGAAATACTTAAACATATGTTTTTTTTTGTTTTTATTGTGTATCTAAAAAAATATACACCTGGAAATGGGAAAGTAGAAGTAACGGACGTAAAGGTGTGATCTTTTAGACAAAGGACGTTAATACACATAAAAAAAACATGTTCACCACACTGAATACACTAGGCAATGGCCATCATACATGAAGATGTAATACAAGAGGTTAAGAAACACGGTAATTGTGAAGTGAACCACACGTGTGGGTAATGGAACACATACAGAAGCAAAATAGTGCATTTATTGGTTCAAAAGACAACAACTTCGTGGGTAAAGTGCGCGATCTTGTTCTCACAATAATCGGTTACTGTAGACCTCTATAGTTTACAACATGAAACAGTACGAAAAATTACACAGAAGCGCCATAGTTAATACTAGAATAACTTCAATAAATTCACACATCTACAGGAAAACTTTTGTAGTTTATTTTCTGCGATGTTTCGACCAGACATTCTTTCGTCAGGCAGTAAAGACAGTGTTACAATTGATTTGGGCTCAGAAATAATCGTCATAAGTTATGATAACACAAAGATTCTAATTACACACGTTCAACGAGGAGGACGAAACATGATAAAAACTGTTGAACTTATTACTTAAATATTATTAAAATTAGTTAAAATATGGAAAAGTAACTAGAACTACAACTGGACTTAAAAATATAAACATAGGAAAATAAACATAAATTCGCAAAATAATCATGCGAAGGAAAACTTTTGCATAAGTAAAGTTGAAGAGGGATATTTAACCAGGAGTATAAAGTAAGGTAAACGCGTCTACAGAAATGGTTTAAGGGACGAAATTAGAGAAAGGGTTGACGGAGCTGTACAAGTACTTGAAAAGAAATCATTCGTTTATACCACAAGGGGATTTGGTGTTGAGCTGGAGGGCAGTGTTCAAGGCTTTCTCGTGTTGAGTACCATGTCGGAGGTACCATTAATTACTTCTTATCCATTCTCTTAATAATTTTAATAATATTTACTTGATAAGTTCAACATCCTGAGGATGACACGTTGCAACGTCCAAACATGTTGAGTCGTCAACTTTTAAAGGCCATAGATAGGCCTAAATAAAAGGTTTTTGTGTACCAATTTTAACGTTGAATATTATCTATGATTAACTTTATACACAAGTGCCAAAACACAATAATAAAGTTCAACAATGTTTTGATCAGCATTTTTGTCACTGTGTAACTAGAATCTTTGTATTATCTAAACTTTTAACAATTATTTCTAAGCCTAATTCCATTGTAACACGAAATTTACTACCTGACGAAGGGCGTCTGCTCGAAACGTAGCAGAAAATATACTAAAATGTTTTCATTTAGAAGTGTATTTATTCTTCATTATAATTTATTCAAGTTTTTCTCTCTCATCTTGCTGAACAACACTCGGTCAACAGTTAAATACTAAAAAGTGAAAAATTAAGCAACGTTTTTGACAGTTTTAACATAGTGTGATAAAAGGATTTCCTAATTGTAACTTAAACAGAATTGCATATACTATTATCCAAAATTTTCAAGAAAAAAATTATTATACAATGGTGTCGCTTTCACACAGATTTTATCATCTGCTCTGAAAAGTTTTCATGTTAACAAAAAAATAAGAACAAATGTCTGTAACGGTTGAAATATTTTAACTCCCAATTCGTTGTCAGTTGTTGCAAAACAATTTATTAAATATGTATTACAACTAGATGTCTTGAGACTCACTTAAACTAGGAATTAGAAAATTTCATAATATTCTAAACATTTTTATGAATAACAAAGAAACACGGCATTTTATTCGGTTAGCTCAGTGATACATCATGTAGCATTTTCAAAATCTTGTGAATATTACGTCATTTTCAAATTTTGTGTAAAATAATTTATTAATAATGAGTGACTATTACATTATAATTGGAAGTAAGAATATTTCGTATTATTATTATTATTATTACTAAACAAAACTGCTCTCTGCGTTAATATATCGAAGCACATTCACGTTTATTCCACTGAAATAAGCAACCAAAAGAAATGAAACATTTCGTGAGCGTTATGACAGCTGTGGTAATGTTTTATTTCGTGAATGAATGTGTTCTCATGTCTGGTTGATTGAAAACGGCGAAACGCCAATAACGAGAACGAAATCAACTTCTCCGAAATGTTGTCTAGAGTCTGCCATCTTTTCTATGATGGTTGTCTTCTAAATAAATGTTTTCATTTTCCCGAAAAGTGGCCAAATGCCGCCTGGAGGGTGTCACTTGTTTTAAAACCACTCACACAACTACACAGTAATGTGTTGTCTGTCAATCAACCAGTAGACAATAAAATGACGTCACATAAGGGACGCTTAACGTTGCAATTTGTACTGTCGTGATGTCAGTAAAACGTGCATATATCATGAATCACGAGAAGAATTATGCACTCTGTAAGCTACAACACAGCATGACATATGAACTTTAAAAGCAAGAAATAAAAATATTTGATACTCAGGAGTTGTAACGTCGAAACATGTAGAGTCGTCACATTTTTGAATGCCATAGATAGGCCTAAATAAAATGTTTTTAATTGTGTACCAGTTTAACTTTGAATATTATTTATGATTTTAACTTTATACACAAGTTCCAAAATACTATAATTAAGAGCATAATTATTTCAAACCTCAGAGGTGCTCTGTGTGTTTGATTAGGCCTAAACTTGTGGCCCGTCTACGTTTTGAGGTCAAACGCGAATAGCGTGAACTCCGATACTTCCTGAAAGAATTTCTCATGACATTATCACAGAAAAACAAGTCACGCTTGATTTTTTAACAGCGGAACACGCAATCGTAGAAATTCTCATACATTTGTCACCCAAAATAATCCCCATAACCTATTACCATACTAATAAAAATTGATGCTACGACAGATATACCTAAAAAAATCACACGGCTTATCATTAGCTATATCATACGTTTAGAACATCTGCCTATAATGCCCTTATATAGTTTATTGTGAAAACCAGGTGATAGGAGGCTACAATCCCGGATGCATTATAGCTGATCCTCGAAGATCCGATTTCTAGTTTTTTCACTGCTAAATATTTTATTTCTAAAACCAAACACGAACACCTGACAACAATTTTTTTTACAACTAAAAATTTGTAACACAACCTCTTTGCATTAATATTTATCAAAAAAATTGTAGTTCATTAGCTCGAGTTTCCTAAGATACAATTAAACCAATCAAATCCAAGATATTTCCTTTGTATAAGATTTTGCTCCATTTTATTTAAAAAATGTATTCGTTTGATTTTTAGTTGCTGTATTTTAGTCGTTTTAACTTCAGTTTCTTGAATATTGTACGTTTTTCTGTTTGCGAGTTTATTGTGCTAACTAAACCGTACCGAATTACGTTTATCCAAGTAGTCCAACTTCCAAGTATCGCAATAACACAAAAACAAAACGAAAAGTTGTCTAGGACTGTAGTAACAACTAGCCTGGTTGTCCTTTTGTGTTTCAGTTTTGCTCTATATTACAACCTGGTTGTCAGATTCTCATCACGCTCACTGACACACACACACACACTGGTTCACTTGGGTTTCAGTATGTTTAAAATGTGTTTCGCTTTCGTGCCCTCTGCTTTTATCAGTAATTCTTTGAAGTAGTTGGTCTCACTCACGTCGTTGATCTACCAACAATGCCCTGTGTTGGAAGTAGGATAGTGAAGTAATAAGATTTTGGCGTAGAGCCATACACGCAACCCAAATAATGAACTACAACAGCATGTAGGAAATACACTTCTAAATCATGATCACACAAACACACACACACACGTGTGTGTGTGTGTACCATGTAATTCTCCATAATATTCCCTTATAGATAATTACAACTATAACAAATCAAATCATTTAAGCATTGTTAAAAATGAAAGAAAAAAAAACTACTCTGGTTACAGTATATTTAAGAAAAGGCCGAAATCAAGTGGGTAAAAGTGTTCGGACAGTCACGTGCAACGACAGGAAAATGGTCCGTGACATCAGGTTCTTCACGCTGGCACACATATGTTGGGTTAATACCACACTGCATTCCAATAGCCAAAATCTAAAGGTTTCTATGACAATCTGCATAGTCATGCCACTTGTTTAAAAAACCCAAAATACACAACTTTACTTGCATGATGATATGTTTAACTGTGACCGTTCTTCCGGTAACAACTTGAACTACCGGAATAAAAGTAGCTTGGACACAAAAAATATGTAACTTGAGATGTAAAAACAACATGGGTGTGACTTCCAACACAACTTGTGACGTATTGGAACCGAAATTAGATGGAATTAAATATTACCCATTATCTCTGTCAAGAAATAATCGTAACAAAAAAAAAAAACTTACATTACCTGATGCTACAGTAAATACATTCTAGAACAACATATTGTAAAGTTATATCATACTGGGTTATTACTTATATTTTGCTATAAGTATATTCAAGTACATATTTTCCTT